ACTTGTATTTAGGTTTTCTAAGCCATTGTTAGGCAGTCAATTCTTATTATCATTGAGACTAAGAGAGAGATTGGATTCAGAGCTTTTGGGGAGACAAATCCATACTCTGTAGAGAAGAATTTCGAACCCCTTCATCTTTTACTCTATTTTCTTAATGCAATATTATTCAGTCATGATTTGTGTTTCACTTGCTATGTCTGAGTAATCTGGTAGTTAGGTTTTGGGTTATTCAAAGGTTGATAATGAATTGTTAGAACTACAAAACTGGAAGGATAAATCATTTGGTTCTTCATCTAGATTGCTTTAACACTGGTTATGATTGATCACCTAGAAACATTGTTAATCACCAGAACTATCTTAGATGAGCAAAATAACTAGTTGCAAAGGAATTTGGACTAGTGATTTTGTGAACATATCGAACCTGATCTATAATGCATGTTTATGTTGTTAGAATTTGCAAAGAAATTTGGAATTCTAGAATCTGATCATAGTTTATCTCTGCGACGGAAGTCGATTGGTTTTACACTAGTGTTTCGAGTTCTAGAACGATTTTAATAAATATTCCTTTCAGTTCGTAGTCTACGATTTATGTCAACCTGCGAATTTCCCATTGCCTAGCGTCTTGTCTTTTGATTTTAAGAACCTACAATTCGCTCCTGATATTATTGCCTTCGTTGTTATTTTATTTTCATTTCATTATCGATTGCTTAGGCTTAAGTCCTTGTGGATTCGATCCCTAAGTACTACAGTGATCTCTTAAATTGAGAGAGTAGCTCTAAGGGTTAATTTGAGCATATCATGTACGAGTAAAGCTTGTTGACTATTTACAATATGATATAACTTCACAATGCTTGTCGACTAATTAATACACATTATGAAGTTAATATACAATAGGTGGAGTGTTGAGTAATTTTGGTTTTGGTTTTGTAAAAATAAAAATTATTTTTTTCATTATCAACTATAATCAGTAAAACCAGTAATATCAGTTTTACGTAGTTTACACAGTTGTTCTATATTGAAAAAGAGAAGCAGTTTTACATAGTTGTTCTATATTGAAAAAAAGAAACCGTTTTACATAGTTATACACAGTTGTACACAGTTTCTTGTAGTTATCCAATATTGAAAACATTTTGAAAGAAAGTTTTACATAGTTTTACATAGTTCCACACGGTTGTACACAGTTTTACAAACCAGGGTATACGAAAATCAAACACTACTGAGATTTCCAAATAACAACCATTCCAATCTTTGTCTTGGTCGCCTTTTATTTTGAGTCCTAGGACGCTTTTCTCTCCAGCGGATGGAAACCTTTTTATTCTCTTCCTTCCCTTCTTTTTGAGTCAATTTGGAGGCATGATCTGCACTTCTTTGATGTAATCAGGGACATTCTACTCAGACTGATGAGGCACTAAATAAATTGTTCTGTGATATGCCAATACCTACTGCTCCACCCAATAATATCTTAAACACAATTCATGTAGTTGGATATCGCGAACTCTATCTTTATTAGACTGGAATGTAATGAAAGTCGCTAGTTCGTGCATACAAGGATACTTCTCAATAACAAACACCCTGCAGCTGCAACTTTTTGAGAGTAAATTCACCAAATAAGACTTCCCATCAGAACCAATGACATTGTATTCAAGCCTCAAACTGTTTAGCTCATCCACATGTAATTTCTTAGCATCCTCCTACATATCATGCAACAAGTGCTCCACTAAAAGCACAAGTTTATATTCAACCAGTCCTGCAACGGCCTCCTTCCTGTGATCATTAAACCAATCACAAATTGTTTTCACGATCGAATCAACCATGGGTATTAAGGAGTACGTCCTTGCGATCCTAAAAGTACTGTTTAAAGATTCCACAATGTTGCTTGTATCTAAGTTGTATCTATCTCCAGGAATATAACACCTTGCCCATTTATCTTACTCAGTAATGTGCTCTAGATACTTTGCCGCAGAAGGATATCTCATCTGGAAATGACTATAAGCACGCTCAAACTCAGCCACTATGTAAAACCTACTACACTCCATAAATCTCTAAGCGACCACATCTTTATTGACGTTAAAAGCATGACCTTTTACATTTTGGGACAAATGCCATACGCAATAACATGATGAGAGCTTGGATACACATTAGCTATGGCGCTGATGAGGCTTAGATTTCTGTCACTCAAAAATACCAATTCGGAAGTGTCCACCACAACAGATTTCAGCATCTCGAAAAACCAGGTCCAACTAGCATTATTCTCACCATCGAGTACAGCAAAGGCTATAGGGCAATTATGCCGATTAGGATCCTGAGCTGAAGCAAAAACTAGTACACCATCAAACCCGTTCTTCAGAAAAGTTGCATCCACAACTATCACTTTCCTCATGCATTTAAATCCTTCTATGCTAGCTCCCAAAGCAATGAATAGATACTTATATTTTTCATTTTCATCCAACTTCACCCTTGTTATTGTACCTGGATTGACATTTTCTAGCATGTACAAATAACAATACAACATCTTGTAACTTTCTTCTGGGTTACCACGCAAATTAGAAACAGCTTGATTTTCCTTCGCAATGCAGTGGAGTATGATACTTTCACGCCAATATTTGCCTGAACAAGATGCATGATACTTATAGGAGCCGGAGTGTCCATTTGGCCTGGATAATCATCATGCAAAAGAGATGCAACTAATCATGGTGTGTCTTTCCTCCTCTGGTTGCTTGAACTCTGACTAGCCCGAGAGCATGTATGCATCCTAAAATACATTCTAATCGAGAAAAAAATTGTACCTTTGATCTTTGCAGCTCGTAAACCCCAACTACAGCTTCCTTGATGACATTTCAACACTAATCGAACCTTATCTGACTTCTCTATAGCAAAATTAAAACAATTCACAAATGAGCCTCTATCCACCAAATCCTGCACTGCCTTCTTATTTGGAAATTATTGATGTAAATATAAACTCAAACCGTCTTCCCATGCCTCCATAAACTGAGTAGCTTCTACAACAGGTTGCAACTCACCATATTCATTGCGCATATCTACAGATTCATCACCCTCTCTAGTCTCATCATCCTTCTCTATCGTCTCATGTTGTTGTTCTGCTTGTTGGTGGTACACAATCATGGCATTATCTTCAACTACATCATCCTTCGAATGCAACTCCTCATAGTTCACACCAGCAAAAAAATTTTCCCTCGCTTTCGAAAGCTTATCTGACAGTTCTTCTGAAATAGTGATGACCTCCACATGCAGAAGACATCTACGATTCTCATTATTAATGGAGGCCAGATAAACACGAAGATCCTCATCATCAGAAATAATCCACTCTTCCTCATGTCCCACCAGCAGTGGAGTGTAACTCAATTTCAACTTCACCATACTTTCATCTAAATCAACTTTTTTGCATATTCTAGCTTCTATCAACGCCAAAGTTACCTCCATCATTGGTGTCTTCAATAATATACTATATTACCGACCTTTGCATTTATAATGTATGATTCTGTTGTTGCTCATTGTATCCTGCCAAAACAATACAAAAACTCAATCAGTAATACTAGTTATCCACAGTTATACAATCAGTAATACCCAGTTGTACCAAGTTATACTTTATTAATCAGTGATAGTAATACTAGTTATCCACAGTTATACAACAAGTAATATCCAGTTGTATTAAGTTATACTTTACTAATCAGTGATAGTAGTGACTAGTTATCCATAGTTGTACAATAAGTAATATCCAGTTGTACCAAGTTATACTATATTAATCAATAATAATAATACTAGTTATCCATAGTTATACAATAAGTAAGTTGTACCAAGTTATACTTTATTAATCAGTGATAGTAGTGATTAGTTATCCAAGTTATATCATCAGTAATAACCAGTTCTACCAAGTTATACTTTACTAATCAGTGATACTACTAAATAGTTTGCCACAGTTATACCATCAGTAATACCCAGTTGTACCATGTTCTACATTGTAATACTAGTTCTACCCAATTGTTTTTCGCAGGAACTCAAATTGGATGATTTTGTGTTCAATTCATTCTAATCAACAATTCAATACGATTCAACTCAATTCAAACAATACAAACTATTTATTACCAATTTATAGTCCTAATCAACCTATAAATCATGGTAAAACACACTATATCCAAAGCATTTGAGCATTTGATTTTCAAATCTTAAAAAAAAATGTTTACCTCAATTTAGAAACTGCAGTCCATTCACTACAACTTCCGACTTCCGACGGCGTTGATGGAGGGCTCCAGAACGGCGACGGCGGAAGAACGAGCTCGGAAGAACCAGATCGGTGATGGTAACAATGGAGAAGGGGAGAGAGAGCGAGGTCGAATGGGGGGGAGAGAGAGAGTGGAGTGTGAGATTTTTTTTTTTTAAAAAATCAATTTTTCTGATTGATTCATTAAGGGCAAAATGGGTAGTTCACTTAGAAAAGGGGTATGTAGATTATTGAGAGATATAGGAGATTATATTTTGAGAGAGGAGGGCATTTCAGATCATGACTCAGTGGAGTGTGAGATTTTTTAAAAAAAAATTCTGATTAATTCAGTAAGAGCAAAATGAGTAGTTCACTTAGAAGAGAGGTATGTAGATTATTCAGGGATATATGAGACTATATTTTGAAAGAGAAGGTCATTTCAGATCATGACTCTAAAAGAGTATCTGAACTAGCTAAATTATAGATAAAATAAATTATATGAACCCTTAAAACGCATAAAATAAAATAAAATCCATCCCATAAAACAAAAAAGAACAAGTAACAAATTAACGTTGTTGTGAAGGTGGATCCACCCAAACGAAGTGGTTAAATAAAGAGGTGCTTGTAGGGGGACGAGAGCTTTTGTCATCAACGAGAGAGTAGTACACATTTTCTTTAGTCGATGGATGTGAACAAAATCCTTTTAAAGAGGCAGGGTAAGTTGCAAATACTGTCAAGCCACACACGTCGCTCTTCTCTTCCCATACCATGCGTTCACGGTTTAGTTTAAACACCGACCGGTTGTTGTTTTTTTGCCTCTTTCAGCCGACATAACAAAGATGTTTCCATCATGTTCCATCATCAACACTTGCTTACCGGTAGCGACTATATCACAAAAGACAGCACAGCCCCATGGTTTCACTGGAAGAACAACCCACGTTGCGTTACACGGGTCAAAAACCCCGAGGAAGCCGCAGTTACTGAGAGCATAGACCAAACCGTTCGAGAAGATGCACTTGCTCCATCTTCCACTGGACGGTGTCCTCGAGTAGTGATGAATGGTCCATTCGGTTTCACCAGGCGTCCAAGTAGAGATCAAAAATCTGTTTCTGTTTTGAGAGAAGGAGACCACCAAACAGCTAGTTGATGTTGGAGCGGCTGAGAAAGCTAAGCAATTTAGAAACCGTGCCCTATTGGGTAAGTAGATACGCTCACGTGTAAACAGGTTAAGAAAGAATAGCCAATTGAAGGGTTTATGATCTGTTACCACAAGCAACCAACCATCCCTAGAAACAGAGAGTGCTTTATGGCCCTTTAAATCTGGAACATTTTTCTTATATATTTGAGACCTTGATGGGTCAAAAAGAATGTAATCTCCATCTTCTTCTTCTGATGGATAGAAAAGCCAAGGAAGAGGCTGGAATTCTTCCTGACTGAAACAGCTGCATCAAACCATGTCTTGCAGACCACCGAAGCATGTATGTTGGCTTTTGGTCCGAGCCGGGATAGTATATCCTGCAGGAGCTCTGTGGGAATATTAGCATCCCAAAATCTTGTGATACACTTCTTCTTCTTCTTTGATCCATGATTTCTTCTAGTCTTTTCTCTGCATATATTCGACAGTTAGAAGAAAAAGAAGAAGAAAAATTCATGGTGAATCAATAAGAGATATTACAATAATGGAACTAGACGTTTCTCATTGATGTTGGAATGTTTGGTATATAAAGTGAAAGCGGTGAATTCAGAGATAATAAGTGAAAAGAGAGAGAAAACTCACGACGGCGCTTGAGCAATGAGTTTTGCTGTGAGGGTTTCGGGGAACAGTGACGCCGGAGTTGCTGCCGTGTCTGATCCACGGCCAGTCCTCATTATATCCAGCTGTAACTTTTACGCCACGTAAGAGAGTCAGATCAAATTAATTAAGGTTTTTCCCCCTTCTTTCTTCTTTTAAAAGATTAGGTAGTTTTTTTTATTTTTTCCCCCTTTTGTTTTTAGATTGTCGAAGCATATCAACATATTTCTCTAATTTTACCGAGTATTTATGATGCTTTTGGTACTCGATCTTGATTAAACAATATGTTTTTTTCACACACCGATTTGAATTTGAGCTCCGAAAACAAGGATTCTCTTATTAAAGGGGTGGATTTGTATATACTAATCGTATTTTCTATTTTTTTCTTTATTTTACTTATTTTATTTTCACTTTTATAATTTCCTTTTTAGAAAATTAATAATACTTATTCTTTTTTAGTTTTTAATACAATCTAAAATCATTTACAAAAGGCAAACTTACAATTATTTAAATATATATATTTCTCACGCCTAATATAGCATGTATAATTCCAGTTTTCGGAGAAACAAAACCCAGACGCTACACTTACTTCCATTTTGGGTTCTATGGCATCTTTGGAAAAGTAGAAACGCTCTGGTTTATAATCACCACTCACTATCTTTTGACGACTTGATTAGGCGTGCAACGGACGCTCTCATGGAATGGAATGAAGCCACTGGTGAAAATCTATCGTGCATACCTGCTGCTACCTCAAGACGACAACAATTGTGGATCCCACCACCACTTGGTTGGGCTAAATGTAACTATGATGCTTTTAACCACCTTGATAATCGGGATTCTGGACTCGGCTGGATAATACGCAACTCGTCCGGAAGATATTTAGATGGAGGAATGGGGAAATATCAAGGCAGATTCATATATGCCGAGGCAGAATGTTCGGCACTGATCTGGGCTCTACAATCTACGTGGTCAATGGGATATACGAAAGTCATATTCGAGGGGGATAATATCAATATTGTCCGACTGATCAATGGAGATGGATTGAATCTCAAGCTTCAACACTACATCAATACTATTATACGTTGGACGTCTATGTTTTCTGAAATACAATTCACCTATAAGCACCGATCTTCCAATTCTTGTGCGGATATCCCTGCGAAGAGAGGAGCTGTTTCAGATAGGCAATGGGGCTTATTCCATACTTGTCCTTCTTTTTTAGACTATACTGTAAACAATGATCGTACAAATGCTTCATAATCAAATACATTTTAGACGAAAAAAAATATAGCATGTATTATTGTATATACATATTTCTCGTATCTTTTGAAAAATCAGCTCTTCTATTCCAATTCATATCTCCCTATTCAACTCGTCACTTCTCTCCAGTGCCGTGCCTATCCTATGTTTGAAGAAACATTGGTGTAGGGCATCACTTTTTAAAGAAAATTTTAAGACATCAATTTTTTGATAAAAATTAGCAATTTATTACTATTTTTTTTTTGTCGACGTTTTTGACTATTATTATTAAATTATATATAGGCTTCAAATATGTTATGAGTCTATTTTACTTAAATCTAAATATAGGTTTACATAAAATAAATTAACAATTAGTTAATAATATTTAAAATATTAAGAAAGGGTTACTGGGATATAGAGTTTAATGAATTTTGACTTTCTTACTAATATCAAGTGTTATTGGTTTGGTGATTTTTAAAATCCATATAAATTTTATCGTTATTTAAAAAGTTTACATTTTTAAAGATTTTATGGTTCTATTAAAAAATTGGTTATTGAGTTTTAAATAAATTAACACATAAGACAAATCTTTTAAAATATAAGTTATATCTCTAACATTCTCAAAACCAATCATATTAAAATATTTTTATAAATTTTCTAAACATACAAACTCTCTCACAATCTAACAAAACTCTTTACAAATTTAACAAATCTCTAAAACTTTTAAAATCAATAAACTCTATATAAATCAATCTCCCAATAACCCCCTTCAAATAAAAAAAATTAGAAATAAACATTATTATTGAAGAATTAGAGATATAAGATATTATTAATGATTCCAGCTTCAGTTGCATCTGCCGAAATAATTTTTTCAAAGCTGAAGTTAATAAAAATTTATTTTTGCTCGACTGTATCTCAAGAAAAATTAAGTGATTTTGCTATATTATCTATTGAAAGTGTACTACTAAAGAATATTGATTTTGAAAATTTGGTAAACGATTTTGTGAGAAGAGAAATAAAAATTAAGTTTTAAAATTATACTTTAAATTAATAATTGTAGTTTATTATTTTTGCTATGTGACAGCCATATCTATTGTTATATATAATGTTTTTTGAATGAGGGTATTTTATTCTTATTCGCTTATGCATGCTATCAAGGTTAGCACAGCTCTGCTTCTCTCCTATACTTTCTCATCTCTTTTCTCCCTCGCCGTAATCCCTAACACGATTGGTAAAAGAGTCAAACAGGTGTTGCATGCACCTCAGGTAATTAAGATAGTTAGATGATAAGTTTTCTTGATGACTACGTTACGTTCCTAGTTCTTTTTGGAACCGCGCGCATGAAGTTGATGGAGAAGGTCTACAGACTACAGCGATTACTAAATCAAGCACTGTGAAGGTTTTAGATTTCATCAACTAAATAAAGAAGAATCTGGAGTCTATTCTGCGTCGGATTCTAAGAACGAGTCCATCATACTGCCATACTGATGAGTGAGACAGATGATTAATCAGAAGAAGAAGAAAACCAATAACAGGTATGAAAATAATTTGAAAGTTTGGGTCCATATATACAACTTTTTTTTTTCTATATGTTTTTAGGATTTAGGTTTGTTATCTAAAAGTTATTAAAAGTGGAAATATATGGTTAAATTAGAGGAATAATTTTATTACAAAAGCTTGTATAGTTGAGGTATAATGTTTTAAGGATCAAAATTAGAATGGGCAAAAACTAGACAAGCGAACTAACTCACATCATCTACTATTTAACTCTGTACTAAAATGGAGCCAAAATCTTACATCGAATATCAGATCAAATACTAGATGATGTAAACTTAAACCATATGTCTAAAAACGTTTCCGCCATATATATATACTAGGATCTTTAAAAACTTGACACACGTATAAATAACTTCATGGAAATTCTACCTCATATAATAAAAAGAAAAAATGTTGCGAACAAATAAACTAATAAAAACAGTTGAAGTTCTCAAATTTTCCTTTAGACATTGTGTTTCGGTCCTACCGATTAAACAAGTTGGTTGCAAATAATATTTATTTTCTTATTAGTGAATGTTCAAGAAAGTTCATACACATGCTAGCTAAGTTTACAATGTTCATTGGTTTTAGTGCACATGGCCTTCTTCGTGACTTCATGATGCAGCGTTGTCACAAGCATTTACGGATTTATTGGCTTTGGTGTTATCTTATGGGTTTTAGATGAATTCTTATTTATTTTTATGTAACGATAGACTCCTATTTCAATGAGGAGTATATAGGCTGGTGTTATCTCTTAGAGAGATCTGGGTTATTTAAGGCTTTGCTTTCCCCTGTTATATCATCATCGATTTATTGAATAAAACAGAACTTCAAGCTTCTTATCTGTCTTGAGTCTTCGGCCATTCTGCGGCTATTCTGAGGAATCAACGGACATCGAACTTGTGTGCTTTAGGCTGCGCCACTTCATAATTTTATTTAACTTCACTTGGGTAAGTTTATATCGAACCCCGCCGGTTCACGTGATTTTAGAGTGTTATTTAGAATCTTTATCTGATAGTTAAGCCTCAAAGATTCCTCTCTTTAGTGAAATAAAAAAAAATCCTTGGAAAAAAAGAAGAACACAACAAAAACAAAACTGACAATGAGATCAATGTGGAACAAGTGCCTCGAAAATGCAATTAAACTCGGATGCATCAAGCCAAATCTCAGGTGTATTGTCCTTGAGAACAAATTTTCTCAGTAAAATATCAATATGAAATCCAACACAATGCATGATGGTAATATTATTGCCCCTATAACAACTTAGTTTCTTCAATTATCTTTTTCTAAATTGAATGAAAATCAGGTTGACGTAAAATAAAATTAAATATCACGTACCTCTAGCTATAGTAAAAACTGCAAAACGTAATGCAGCACGTTGCAATGCGGCATTCCACGTATTAGAAACTTAATAAATTGGTATAGACATAAATGCCATCTCAATAAATCACCATGCTTTGTTGCCGTAAAAATAGAAATATTCATCATGCTTTGTTGTAAAAGTGTTTTTCAAATTTCAAGAATTCTTGATAATAATAGTAAACCGTTAAGCAAAAAAAAAAAAAATTCTTGATAATCTTCTTTATAAATGATAATAATAGTATTTATGTAAGAGTAAAGATTACATGAAGGTAGTTTTTTACACATTTTTGTAATCCGACGTAGAAGTAGTCCATGCTTTTGATATTAAAAAGGTTTTCTACAAATCAACTCTTACTCTTAATAACAAGACAACGAAGATAACCACCTAAAATAAATTCTAATTTTCAATATTTTCTCTAAAATAGGTTTTTCAATTGTATGTGGTTTTTCTAAACAAAACGACATGTAGTTTACAAAATCATGTCGTTTTTTAGAGATATCATCTGAATTGTCTCCTTCCCCAAAATATAATCTCTTATATCCCTCAATAATTTATATACCCCTCCTATAAGTGAATTATCCATTTTACCCCTACTGAATTTTCAGAAAATTTGATTTTTTTAATAAAAAAACCTCACACTCTCTCTCCCCCACTCGACCTCCCCTCCTCCATTGTTGCCGTCGCCGATCTGGTTCTTCTGCCGTCGCCGTTCCGAGCTCGTTATTCCGCCGTCGCCATTCTGGAGCCCTCCATCGACGCTGTCGGAAGTCAGAAACTATAGTGAATGGACTGCAGTTTGTAAATTGAGGTAAACTATTTTTGAAATAATTGAAAATCAAATGCTCAAATGCTCTGGATATAGCGTGTTTTACTATGATTTATGGGTTGATTAGGACTATAGATTGGTAATAAATGTTATGTGTTGGTTGAATTGAGTTGAATCGTATTCAACTGTAGATTAGAATGAATTAAACAAAAAATCATCCAATTTGAGTTTCTGAAAAAAAACAATTGGGTAAAGCTCGAATTACAATGTAGAGCTTGGTACAACTGGATATTATTGATGGTGTAACTATGGCAAACTAGTTACTAGTATCACTGATTAATAAAGTATAACTTGGTATAAATGGTTATTACTGATTGTATAACTGTGGATAACTAGTCACTACTATCACTGATTAAAAAAGTATAACTTGGTACAAGTGGGTATTACTTATTGTATAACTATGGATAACTAGTCACTACTATCACTGATTAATAAAGTACAACTTGGTACAACTGGGTATTACTTACTGTATAACTATGGATAACTAGTCATTACTATCACTGATTAATAAAGTATAATTTGGTACAACTGGGTATTACTAACTGTATAACTATGAATAACTAGTCACTACTATCACTGGTTAGTAAAGTATAACTTAGTACAACTGGGTATTACTTGTTGTATAAATATGGATAACTAGTATTGCTATCAGTGATAAATAAAATATAACTTGGTACAACTGGGTATTACTGATTGTATAATTGTGGATAACTAGTATTATTATCAGTGATTAATAAGTTTTTGTATTATTTAGGCAGGATACAATGAGCAACAACAGCATCATACATTTCAAATGCAAATGTTGGCAATATAGTATATTCTTGAAGACACCAACGACGGAGGTAACTTTAGCGTTGATAGAAGATAGAATATACAAAAAGGTTGATTTAGATGAAACTGTGGTTAAGTTGAAATTGAGTTACAGTCCACAGCTGGTGGGACATGAGAAAGAGTGGATTATTTCTGATGATGAGGATCTTCGTGTTTATCTGGCCTCCATTGACAATGAGAATCGTAGATGTCTTCTGCATGTGGAGGTCATCACTATCTCAGAAGGACTGTCAGATAAGCTTTCGAAAGCGAGGGGAAAAAGTTTTGCTGGTGTGAACTATGAAGAGTTGCATTCGAAGGATGATGAAGTTGAAGATAATGCCATGATTGTGTACAACCAACAAGCAGAACAATAACATGAGGCGATAGAGAAGGATGATGAGTCTAGAGAGGGTGATGAATCTGTGGATATGCGCAATGAATATGGTGAGTTGCGACCTGTTCTAGAAGATACTCAGTTTATAG